TGTATAATCACATAAACACTACGAACACCATTCACTGCGTCAATGAGTATTAGCCATAATAATAATCACATTCATTCTCTATGTATCCATACCTGTCTATGCACATGAAAGTAACGATGACCTTGTGTCAGCTTAGTTGTCTAGTATTTACTTGTGTAAGTGTATCCATCTTTATATATATATATATATATATATATACAGAGAAAGAGAACTTTTTTGTAATAGAAAACAAACATACTACCTTGAAATTCATGCCCAGTAGAAATCGAGTTCTAGTTCATTGACTCTAGTAAAAGGCAATAATTTGTTCTAAAATTAAGACATCTGGTTAGTTTTGTTTTAATAATCACGGGTACATATAAAGTTGATGATAATTATGTGACTTGTTCAGCTCGATAAAAAAAGTTCACCACATTGACTACACTACAATGATTAAATTTTTCATTGGAACTATTGTAAACCTTTTTCAAGACTATTGATGGTTCTGAAAATATGACATAAGCTGAATAGTACAATTTAAACTGACATAATGCTTTGAGTATTTTGGTTGATATTATTGAAATAGTTCTTTTCTTGCATAGATTTTCTTTAAAAATCTTATGTTTTTGCTAATCATGATTTTTACAGCGCTATTTGTACATTAATTTTAAATCTTTATAGCTTTTTGCGATTATTATTACTCTGTACAAGCTCTTTTTGAAATCCTTATCCATCCTAGTTGCTACATTTCACATGTGTAAACATTGTGAATGGATTTTACAAGGATAATTGTAGTAAATTCGTAAAGAACAGGTGACTCGAGTAGAATTAAAGAGAAGACATTTAGTATGATGAAATGGTCAATATCTAGCGTTATATAAACATTGGTCATCATTATTACAATTGTTGTGCAAAAACCAAATTAGAATCGTACGAAACAAAGGTTCGTGATTAGACCGTTTAAATTTTCTTATACATTGTTCTTTTCGCCCTTAACCTTCTTCTATTGTACTCCATAGTAAGATAATCACTGGATGTGACACTACTGGTATCAGTTGTATATATTTTAGAGACAATTAAGGATAATCTGAAAACAATTTCCACTCTCATACTTCATTCGAACGAATTTTAAGGTCAAAATTGTACAACATCCGATGCCGACTTCATGGTCTAGAGGTTGAGCATTCGAGTGGGATGCCAAAGGTTTGGGTTCGATCTCCAGTTTCGGGTTCGTAGATTTTTCACTTCAAAGGGCTCCCATACTAAAGCGATACAGTTGGTCAGTGCCCCCTTGTTTTCAATGCTTGTTGAACGTATGTTGGCTCTTGATTTCAGTAAGATTTGAATATATCATTCTCCTTGTTTACTAATAGTAAATTAATGCTTTTGGAAATCAAGTAGACAGAATACACACTGTCTTATTTTGTAGTCTCATCAGTGATCATAGATGGCTTATTATCTAACGAATATCTACTATAAACACTCGTTGGGTTGGAACGATCTTCATTTAGCCTTCAATCGTTATCTACATTATCTATTAATGATGCTTATAACAATAATATGTTAAGTCAGTGGGAAGGACGTTCGATTTAGTCTTTGAATCCTTAAATACTGATCTTTCTACCAAAAATATTGCCTTCCTATTAGCTTCTGAGTTCCTCATAATTTCTTCGTCAGTAATTTGTATTTTCTTGAATTTTATGTTCGATGTCCGGTCTTTTTTATTGCCACTGATGCTGTTACTCCCTCTAATACCCTGAGATACTCTATAACAAATTCACCTCTGTGCTAATGGGATATGATTGCTTGGACCTTTGTACACACGTACCAAGTTCTACGTTGCGCATGACTGACTGATTTCCTGCTAATATGGGAAGTTTATGGGGTTTGATTAGTTTTGTAATGCTTATCGTGAACCGATTTCCCACTAGACAGCCATTGAGAACCAGAAAAAAGCTGAACGATTGCTTCATCGTAGTATGGAACTTTCAATGAATGTGCATTCTCGAAACCGCTTGGGGTTAAGCCTATTTTTTAGGCTTCATGAAAACCACTACATTTGCATCCGATGGTGCGTAACTATGGTATCTTTACTCTTGTCGTTATTATCAGTTTCAGTTTGGGAAAGGCAAGAGCTGATTGATCTGTGTCAGTTCTGATTATGGCGTTCTGTCAGTTGATCAAGCTTTCTTTTGAGTGAGTAGTGAGATTGGGCTTCGACCACTTGCTTGAGGTAAAGAGTTCCATTTGTTGAAAATTTTATGAAAAAGTTAGCGATTTTCTAACTAGTTATTGGTTCTGAGTGTGTTAAAGTCTCTAAAATGTACTCACAGGTCCTCTGTTCCGGAAGACAAAAAAATGAGAACATTGAAGACCGTAATCCAACCACCTCTACTTTTTCTGCACGTCAGAGGTAATAGACTAAGTTTATCCAGTCTCGCATCATACAATAGCTTTAGGATTTCAGGAATCAATTTATATGTGGTTCTTTGAAATCTCTTGAGAAGCTCACTGTCTTTTTAGACAGAAACTAATTACGTGTATGCAATACTTGAATTTTGTTCAAATGAACACTGCATTCAAAGTCTAGGTTAACATTTAAAACACAAATTAAAAAATCTTTCCATAATTTTTATTACTAGTGAAATGGAATTTTCTGACTGACTTTTAAACATTGTGTTGTCACTAGGTCGAACGTATTCATATCATCATCATCATCTTTAATATGACTATTAGTTCACTAACTTGTATATTTTCATTCTATTTTATCCTATATTTCTAATCAAAATGTATGAATAAATAAGAAATAGTGAGAGAATTACAGGAATACAATACAACCTTATTATACATTTCTATTTATTATTATTATTCTGTTCAATTATAATAAATATAAAATGAATTAGTTAATAAGGAGAGAGAGAGAGAGAGAGAAAGAAAAGAAAACCCGACAACCTAATAATAATTCAACTGATTTATTTCATCTGTTGTTTATATATTCAATATTTATTTTTTATATTTAATAAATATTTATTACAATCGAAATTAAATACATTTTATATTTAATATTCACTGTTATTGTTATTATTTTGTAAATGATTGTTTGAAATTATTATTATTATTATTATTTTCATTATAATCAGTTAAAACTTTGATGTAGATATAACACGATTGAAAATATTGTAGAAAATTATTCACAAAGTTCTACTGACCAATTGTTAACATCAATAAAATATATGTTTGATTATATGTGGAATATACAGTATAGTATAATGTTCAAATGAATTATATATTTCAATGGTTTAGATCATGAGTCAGTTGAAGCTAGACCACCATGGAAAACCTGGAAGCACTGGACGGCCGTTTCGTCCTATTGCGGAACTCCTCAGCAGTGCGCGAGGTCGTTGATGCGCACTGCTGAGGAGTTCCGCAATAGGACGAAACGGCCGTCCAGTGCTTCCAGGTTTTCCATGGTGGTCTAGCTTCAACTGACTCATGATCTAAACCATTGAAATTACTATAATATCCACAAAACCCATCTGAAATTATATATTTGTTAAGATTGGACTTATGTTTATATCCAACGAAAAAATAATGATAAGAATAAGAAACTGAATGAGATATGTGTTATAGGTGCCTAGACATCGGTTACTCTAAACATTCAATGTTTATTGGTGTATCAGTAGATTAGAAGAAAAAAAACTAGAGACAGTCAAATCAAGATTTCATAAAGTAATTAACTGTCAGTTTGAGTAGTGATGCAAATTTTCCTATTTTAACCTATGTGGTAATAGTAATTTGTGATAGTCTAAATAAATTCTAGTGAGATAAATGTATTCGTTCTTTGTTTCCTTAAAATTTGCTTCTTAGTATCATCGACAAGTTTATTCATTTGACTCCTTCACTAATACAAGTTATGAATTTTCACATGCTTTACTTATGTTATGACTGACAATATCAACTGATACACATTTGTATCAAGTCATAACTTGTTTACACATAACGGACTCTATCAGCTATTTATTACACAAAAAATGACTTAATTTATGATACCTTCCAATGATTTTAAAGTGCATTATTTAGTGTGGCTTCCTTAGTTCTATAAAACCTTTGAAATTTAAACTGTAATGAACCGATTAATTCATTTCAACAAACCAGTATAAGTTAATCACAACATCTAATGAGATTTGACTCTATTCATTGTTCTACATGAAGTTAACGTAAATTAATAAGTGTTAAAGATGAACTCTCATTTTAGGCCACATCAGTCTGTATTCATAAGTTTGCTTACTCTTGTGTAGTAGGTTACATTGGACGAACAATGTCAGCGTTTTCCAAGCTCGTCCCTGGACATTGTCCTGCATGGGTTTCGGAAGGCGAATGTAAAATATACACTGAAGAGGTGTTAAAAATCCATTTTTTAAAACTTGAACGCTATATGCAAAGGGGGCACGTGAAAGACATTTATTTGTAGCTACATCTTTATAAACATTACTTTGATTGTTAATACATACTTCTAGTGTTTTTAATCTCTTTAATTCTAATTATTCTTTATTAACACTCATGTTCTTAATTTATTCTTTACCCTTCTCGTACTCGTAAAATGGACAATCACCTTTCATGCATTTGGTTTCACCTTATTATCTTTCTTCAAATTCTCTATTATTAAGCGATCTTCTTTGACACATTTTGTAGTGTAATTGTCCTCCGATTTTTCAATAAACTACTTTATGTGTGAATTTACTACAAATATGATTGCACAGCTAGTCTGTGATATCGTCGAAAAGAAAATTTTCTTCGCCGAATAATTTTTTTTATTTCTCTTTAATAAAACCATGAGTTATATTTGTATTCATATTGGGAAACTGTAATTGCAAATCATAGGTTGTACTGTATTAATTCTCATATGATACAAAAGTGAATAAGTATGAATTCATTCTAACTTTTGGGGATCTTTTTTCTATCATTTCGTAGTTAAAGTGAAATTTTATTGTTGCTCTTCATTCCGTTTTTTTTTCTAATAGTGAAGATGTTTCTTCTGGAAATCCAGAATGGATCGAAGAAACTCGTCTAGATGGTCATACCGATTGGGTACGTGATGTTGCTTGGTGTCCAAGCTTGAATATTTCACGACAATTAATCGCTTCATGTGGCCAAGATGGAAGATTAATAATTTGGCAATCGACAGGTAATAATGATAATAATAATGAAAATCGTATGATGAATCGATCGACAGCAGTAAATGATAATAATAATGATAATAAAAACCCAAATTCTAATGAATTAGTAGAATCAAAAGATTTCCAGTCTACACAATATTCCACATTTTGGCGTCCAACCATTTTGTATACATATCCCGATGTTGTCTGGAATGTTTCGTGGTCTGTAACTGGGAATATTTTAGCGGTATCTGGAGGAGATAATAAGGTATACTTTCAAACTATAGATTGAATCAGTTTTCTTTTTGTAGAAATGTTTATTATGATTGAATTTTTAATTGTTTGAATTATACTGTTATTGTTATTTTGACCGAAATGTGATCAATTTTAGTTAATATCTTATGAGGATTCCCTCGATATAGCGATTATGACAGTTTTATGTTGAAGTGGAATGTGGCTAAGAGTGGAATCTAAGATGCGCGTTTCGTCCGATTTTGGACTCGTCAGTTTAATCTACCTGCGTTCCAGCGTTTGTATCCATTCCGGAACTGGAACCCAATATCTTTTACCTCAAACAACAACGTGTTATCCACTTGTAGATAGCCACTCACTTGTGGAATGACTTTGACTCATTTCTTCATAGTTTGGCTTATCTCGTTGATATTTTCACCAGGTAATCCAGCTGAATAGACCCACATGAGACGAAGCGTGCATCTTGCATTCCACTGGCAGCCACATTTCATCTAATGTACATAAACTTTGCTTATCATGATCATTAAATTGTCATATTTATGAAGAAAATGATAAAGTCTCTGCAACAATGTGATATCGGCTGTTTTCCTGGCTTCTTGATTTTTCAACTAGTAAACACATATCACACTAAGGAGATATGGGTTTCAATGGTTTCTAACAGAAATCGTGTCCTTCTTTTTTGCATTGTTGCTTTAAACTTGTTTGTTGAATGTTTTCACTTCCATTTCATTAAAATGAATCACTTATTGATCGTATCCCTTATTTTCTGTCTGCATTCAGTATATTGTTTGATCCTTCTCGCTAACACTGATCCTCCTATATTTTTTACCCTTTTATCTATTTCCCTTGTTGAACTCATCATCTCTTCATACTTACAGTGGTATTATGACAACTTGGGCGAATGCACATGTCAGGCTTTATGTTGATTATGACTCGCTGATTGGTTGACTGACTCATGACTTATCAAAAATTGATACAATTATTGATTTGACTTATTTCACTTTCCACTTTGGCATGATCCCTTTATTTTCATTAATTCATCCTGTACACTCAAATCAAAAGTGATTTTTTTCAGATATTTCAAGATTGATTTATCTGTAGCCAACTTATCTTTTATGAAGTCAAAACAACAATAAATTATGATTTATTTATTGTTATTATGATCATTGTTAGTTAATTGGTGTCTATAATAAATAAAGTTCCTCGGATGAATATAATAATTAAAATGTTTAGTTTCATGTCATTTACTCACTTTTGTTTCCCTTTTTTCTACTCCATGAAATCATTCTTAATTCTCGAATCACAATGTCTATCACCTAATGTTTTTTGTTGACTTTCGTACTAATATTATTCCTGGGATTCGCCTTGACAATTTCATCTCGTTATGCTAATGTACTGTGGTAACTTGAACCGATATGTCTCAGGTTCTATTTTACTTACTTACTTACGCCTGTTACTCCCAATGGAGCATAGGGCGCCGACCAGCATTCTCCAACCCACTCTGTCCTGGGCCTTCTTTTCTAGTTCCATCCAATTCTTGTTCATTTTTCTCATGTCTATCTCCATTTCCCGGCGTAATGTGTTCTTTGGTCTTCCTCTCCTCCTTTGGCCTTGAGGATTTCATGTGAGGGCTTGTCTTGTGACGCAGTTGCGTGCTTTCCTCAATGTGTGTCCTATCCACTTCCAGCGCTTCTTCCTGATTTCTTCCTCCGCTGGGATCTGGTTTTTTCTTTCCCACAGTTGATTGTTGCTAATAGTGTCTGGCCAACGGATCCGAAGTATTTTGCGTAGACAACTGTTAATAAACACTTGTATCTTCTACTTTGCCACATGCGAATTGACATTTGTTAACATTGGTTCTGTCCCCATTTTGTATTGGGTGTTACAAAATCTATAATAACGAATTTGTGTTTACGACTTTTTTGTACAGTTAGTATATATTTAGCCACATGTGAATGGGCCACTGAAATATATGGTGCTAGATCATGTCGACACAGTTCTGTTAAAAGACTAATATTTGAACGAAGAATATTCTTTTCGATAAATTATCTTCAGGTTCTATAATTATATATATAATAACCTGTTATTTCAATTAGAAGACTTCTATTAGCCACCCATTTGTCCTCTTTCCTTCATGTGATACGGCTGATGATTTTACACTCATTTTCTGGCAACTTTTTTTTCAACTACTTAGTTTCCTGCGCTTGAATTCTATATGAAAACTTTTTATCCATCAATCAAGATACTTAGTCTTCATTACTAGGGCACTGTGTTTTTTACTAGTCAGTGAGTCAGTCATAGACTATCGAAAATGAAAAGTTCTGTGCATGACTTGTATGTAAACCTGTTTAGTGTATCCTACGAGTTACTTAATTTGGGTGTATTGTTTTTTTCTTTTTCCTTCATAATTTTACTTGTTAAACTCATTTTATACATTTCATACTGCGACTAGGATTAATGTTCACATTGCTATTTAGTCACAATACGACACTGTGATGCTCTTTCAGAGAAAATCCTCTTTTGTAAACACTCAATTTATGGAGATCGAATTGTTTGTATTCTTGGATATCAATGTCACATGCTGAACTGTAGAGTATACCATTTTATGTTTCTGTCCATAAGTGGTATATGCCTAACTTCACTCAATCGTCTGTTTTCTGAACAAGGTTTTTTATATTATCCTTGCAATTCATTCTTATGTGATTGACAATTAGAGATATTTTTTTTAATTTTCGTTCAAATAACCCAGTGATAGAAAATATGTGTTGATTATTGTTATGGTTTATGATCTTATGAATAATTCACGATTAAAATGAATGAATAAAATCTAGATCAATAAATGAAACCATTTAGCTCAATGATAATCAACCACTCACGAAACTGAATTATTGATTGAAACCGTCGAATTGAACTGAGATCAAAAATAATTTCATGAGTTCAAATACTTTTTTTTTAAAATTTGTATCTTAAAATAAGATGCTTCTTTTCATCATATTAACATTTAAATAAATTCTGTATCACAAGCTGTTGGAGAATAACATTTTTCTGATCAATCATTCACTAATGCATTAAGGCTATTAGGTGTCATTAGATTAAGTGCATAGATTTTAGTTTATGAGTTCCTATTCAACAGCTCATATTTTTGTGATAAAGTCAGTTTGTGATTTTAGGCTGGACGTTGACAGAACGGAATAACTGCTATTGCTAAAAAATTTCCAGATGTGATATAATGAAAACTTCCTCATTTTCTGTCCTCATTTAATTAATGACTGGTTAAATAGAAGAAAGTTACTTATGTCAACAGACATAAGTAGCATACACCACAACAGATAAGTAATTTTATGATTGCTAACTAGTATAAATCCTTTGTCAATGGAATCTTACCAACTGTGGTATTCCTTGCTCTGATTAATTATAAGCATATTAGTTTGTTGATTTTTAATTTCTCCTATATCAAGTTAATTAGTCAGGCGCATGCAACATAGAACCTGACATATATGTGTATTGGTTACCATATTACATTATTACGAGATGAAATTGTCAAGAGAAAATCCAGGGTCGTAGAAATAGTAACAGCATCAGTGGTAGTAGAGAATACTAAAAAAGTGAAGAAAGTTGGTTTGAAAAGGAGTGATTTCTTGGATTAAAAAAATTACGAAATAATCTTGAAACTCAGGTCTTGGTGAGGCTAATAAGTGAATGTATTTACGCCATTGCAGACAATTCTGATTCTTATCACTTAACATCTCTAAAGATCTATTACCAAAATCGTACGGAACCCAACCAGGTAATCTGTCCCTACATCTATAAGAATTAGTTCGATTATCAATAACTTCTTGAGTTGATGCTAAGTCAACTTAACGTAGTACATAAAATTGAAGAAAATAAACATTGTTAATACTCTGAAGTTTTATATTTTGCTTTTTCGATTAATCTAAAGTCATGGTATCAAACATAACAACATGCAATTTAATCTACATATTAATTAAAGGTGTAAAAAAAGTCACCGAAATTTAATTATTTTTCTCTCTCAAGTATTGAAGGGTGTATTTTAAGTCTCTACATTCAAACCCGTTGTTCTCCTCCTTTTGAGTTTTAATGTTTACAATAACCCCACTTATTTTCACAATTGATGTTGCTCCTATTCAAGTACCAGTCAATATACCTCAAAAGTTAGCCATTATGCATTGTTATTTGTCTTTGTGTGTTATGCATGTATGTATGTGTCAGAGATAGAGAATCATTCGCCTTTCTCTGTGCTTATTTACATTTCGTAATTATGTATTCACCTCAATTTAGAAAATTTTTTTTACTTTCAAGAAAAAAAAAGCCAACCTAATTCATTGCTATTTCATCTTCGGATGATATCATCTTCACAGAATATTTTCTATATTATTCATTTGTTTCAAATCGCGACTTGGTTAGTATATGTATATGACCTTGACCTTTATTTTGCAAGTTTAAACCAAGGTTATAACAACTGTCTTATCGGGTCAAATATAACATAAATTCTATGAACTGAAACATCAACATTTTTAATTTTATTCCTTTCATTTCACCTTGTTCTTTCTTTTTTTCAATGTAAAGATGAATGAATGATTTGGTGATTATACGAAGATGAATCATATTATTCTTTATACTTTATCATGTTATTGTTCTATTACGAATAGTTTTACATTTGCATTACAGGCACATAGTTATTACTTTTGACCTGAGTGTGACCCTAATAGAAAAATTGTATGTGTGATGATGAACAGTTACATGCCTATATATTTGTAGGTATAGCAGTAGTACATTGTTGTATTCCAATAATTGTAATTAATTATGCAACTGTAACATTACCGCTATATTTCCATGTCAATAAATATTTTCTAGCTTATTTAAATACAAACATGGATGCTTGAAACAATGTAGCCTGACCAAAAAAAAGTCAAAATTGTCATACTAAATGAATACTTTTTAACGTTTTGGATATCCTTAAGGTTGAGAAAAGTTTTTTGTCATATTCAACAGCGTTTTCATATACATAAAGAGTTGTATACTTATATTCTTTGTAAAAGGATTAACTTCCAATCACTTTGTTCATGTTCTTTCTGTACTACTACTATTACTACTATTGATAATGTTACTACTTGTACTACTGACTATGTTAATTTAGTATGGCAACGTGAATCGATCCACATAATGTGTCAGTTTTCGTATGTTTGACGACTGACTGCAGCCATCTATTTCAATTAAAACTGAAAGGAGATAATGCTATCTGTTACTGAAACATGAATTGTATTCAGTGAGCCCATTTAATAAGGAGTGTTGATTCAGATATATGTAATTATTTGGAACTTGTGTTTTTGATTTCATTCAACTCGACAAACTACTGATGTGAATTGTTAAACTCACACCTTACCGTATGTGGTTTTTCCAAGCAATCTAATCAAATAAAGGAATTTCACTCAATATTATATTTTTGATTAATTTAAACATCGTATGTAAAGTAATTTTAACTGAGAATAATATGAATTCATTTGTTATTTTATTGTTGTGTAATTCTCAACAACCAACTACTTTCAGTCTCTAGACACTTTCAACATTTAATTGTCTAGATTGCAATAGAATTGCATAATATTGTTCTATGATTAAAGCCTATTATTACGCTATTAGAAAAAAAACTATTAGATAAAACGAACATAAAAGCTACAATTATTGTTTGGAATAGAAGAGAGAAAATCATTCGCACCATCCACTTTACGTTTAGCACACCTATATTTTACACTACTGAATTATCACTATTTATACTCAAGAAAGTATGGAATCGGTTAAAAAAAAGACGAAATGAAATAAAAAACAGATGGTAAAACCCTAATAAAAGTTTTCAGTGTGAATAGGGCAACCGAAAAGAAACCGGTGAATGGTTAACCAAGTAATGATGTTATGATCAAATAATGAAAATTCTGTATATAGAATAGATGAAATGCAACTAGTAGTGGAATCCAAGACACGCGTCTCATCTTAATTGAGATTCGTCAGCTGAATATACCTGTATCCCAGCCTAAATGTTTATTAGGGTATTCATACCCAGTACTTTCCGTTTCAAGCTCCAGCGCATTGTCCACTTCGCCACTTCTAGCCATATTTCATCTAAACCTATATCATAATGGCTGTAATTAGACAGTCCACACAAGATTCACATATATCATCTTAATCTGATCACATCTCAGTCGAAATATCAATAGCAAGACAATCCAGAGCATTACAAATGAAATTTAAAAAATGGATTGAATTACACTTGTCAGAGAATTAGATTGAAATGTTGTTTTCTTCTCTTTTCCAAATACATAGATAATTATGATTAGTTCCTTTAATGATAATAGACAGTGTACTACTCACTGAATCACATTGCATTTACATTGTTCTTTTCTTAGTTTCTAGATGTCAACATTATGTTATGGATAACTTACATCTTTTGGTTAGTGTAGTCATTACAAACATTTATAGATATCTCTTTGCATTCATATCTGAATCTGTTTCAGCTTATAATTATACCGTTTGTCTGTGTTTGCTGATTCTGTGAATTCTTCCCACGATAATATAAAAATGCCATATTCTTTATATAAGCATTATTTATTACCTATTCCTAAAGTTGTCGTTATTTTGTTCACAGTTCTAATCATTATCGTTATCATCATTGTGTTTAAAGTACAATCAATTTCGTCTATCAGCTTGTATTTTTCTAAGATTAAGGTCAGTTATCACCTCTAGTCAAACATCAAAACTATTAAATGTTAATTATGATGTGAAAATTCCATGTTAAATGTTTAATTCTCAATACCATTTATTTAATAGTACATGATTTCGCTTGATTATTATAATAAATCATAATGAAATTTTGTATATATATTTCAATACCAAGTTCCAATAATGTAATAAGAAGACTGAGATTATCATTTGTATTCTTTTATTTCTTTTTCATCCTATTGAATAAACGTATTTATTTTTTCAATGAATTAATTCATTTCCATTTATATCTTTATAATGGTTGAGTTTTTTTTGTTAATGCATGAGTAAATGATTATTGTGTTCTTTCTGTCTTCTCCAATCATCATCATTTAGGTTACACTTTGGAAGGAAAATTTAGAAGGAACCTGGATTGCTTTAAGTGAAATTGCACGTGGTGGTCATGATGCATCCGCTTTAATTGGAACTGAAGGGAATAGTCAAACATCAGATCAATCTACAACACAATTGGCTGCTGCTTAACAGTTACCTAATAGGATCTGTGGGCGTGTGTGTATACATGCATGTACTTATGTATATGTATTCGTGTGTCAATGCTCTTGATTCTTTGTCCTGTACACAACTGGTTCATCATTGCTTTTTATTTCACATTGCAATCTATACCTTCTGCCTTTCTGTGCTTCCACTGTTAATGTAGTAATAATATAAGTGAAGATGGTTCATTATTATATTTAGTTAAAGCGTTTGCTGTTAACATTTATATGTTGAAGAATAGTTATTATTCACTTTGGGAAATTCTTCGGAAATTTGTACTATTTCTAATTACTTCTTTCAAAGGAAATAAATATTCAGCTAAAAACGTTCATATTTATTTTAAACATGTGTTCCACTTTTTTTCATCTTGAAACTTATCAATTCTAAGTTAATTTCTGTTATACAGCTCGTTAAAAACTTTTTCCCCAGAATGCTTGAGACCAACTTATAGTTAGATGTAATCAAAGTGATCTAACTAACATAGATACGTACATATGTATTTATGAGAAATTACATTGTGCTCAAATTGCTAATGTCTTATTCACGACTCCAAATACCTATTAATTCGATAGCATGAGACAAAAAATAATCAATTTTCCAAAAGTTAACTATCTACCATAAAGGTAGTCAGTACTTGCGCCTCTATTTTACTAGACGACATTAATGGCTTTTATTGTTTACGGTCGTCACTATGTAAAACTTAACACGAATTCGACCATTAGCCGGCAAGTGTATAATAGTCTGTTTGTAAACCATTATCAACAATAACCCAGTTAAAGACTAATTCTAGTTGATGGTCAGGCGCTCGCGACTATGTACGCTTCAAAACTCATAACTAGATGAGTGGAGATCTAATACATGTACTGTTAGTCTACTATTAGTATAACCCTCGTCTATATTAATTTACTTCAAAACCTAAGTTAAACACCGAATAACATTTGACTCTGCTTGATAAAAAGGCACAATTAGGTGTTGACATATTCGTCCTCTGCTTCTCATCGTCAATTAAATTTCTAATTACTTTTATTAAAATCCTGTACAATGTAATGGTATGTTGGCTATTCAATTAGTAGTCGTGAATTTTAGCTTTGAATACTTATAGTATCCAATTTGTAATCGGAAGTATCCTTCATCCTATTACAGTCCAGTAAATAAATCAAAATCATGCTATAAGATTTTAAAAATCTGACTTTTTGCGATCATTGCCAAGAATACACACACCAAAAAAGAGTAACATTATAATTCAGTGATATTCCAAGAATTTATCCTAACTCGGGTAGGCAGTTTTTATCACGAATCGATATCCCCCAGAGAACAGTTGTATACAATTGGAACTTTGTAGAGTTATTTTTGTGAAAGCATATTTAGCTCTAAACCTTCAGTGACTTTAAACTAACCTTGAAGAAGTAAAACTAACTCTTAACTAGTTTATGAATAAATTGGTGAAGCACTCTTTAGGTGTGGAAAGGAATAAATATGCTCTTTACTTTTTGACTTTAAATGTTAAGAACCCTTAGATTATCTTCAGGACTCCGGAAAATGTGACTCCTATTATTTAGTCTCCTGGTATTTGACAACTTTAAACTTTTTAGTAACTATATACTGGTAATTTTTACTTGTTTCTTAATTAGCTTTCAATAAGATGCAGGCTACCGATCTTTACGTTTCAGTTTTCGTTCAAAAATCTTATGAACTCAATCAAAACTGATTGCTTAGTCATAAAAGTGTATTTTCACCGTTATTTCTTCCTATTTTAAAGGTACTAAAATTTGTGCATTTACAGTCTCACAGTAAATTTTTTCTTTTGAGCATTATACCATTCACTCGACAGGTTGCGTTCTATTAACTATCATTTTCAAATACATCCCATTTAGCTTCCTTACACGATCATCAATACATCCAAATATTTCAATTCAGATTTAATTTATTCTACAATTTGCTACTTTTCAGCCTCAAGCAAACCAAGTTATTCGTCATTTTGAGATTTGTTTCTAAACCATTTAATTACAACACTTGCAACTGTCATGTATATAATGTTAACTTTCTGTAAAACGTGTTTTGAAGTATGATAAGTTTTTAAAGAATCTGTAGGATTTTGAATGATACTAATTACCATCCATTGTCATCAATTTTAAAAAATATATATTGGTTGTAAGTGACCAGTTACCATAGCAGCTAGGGATTTATTTTGTTTTCTGGATTGAAACCAGAAAAGAAATATGAAGGTGTATGTTTTTATTCTGACTGATTAATTTGTTGAGAGGTTTGAAATGTGTTTTGTATATACTGTTACTTTCATGTGACCTTAGGTAATTTGTGATGTGTTGTTTGTTCTCTCTTTCTTCCTTTTGGTTTACTTCTATACCCAAATTAATGAGACGTATTAATATATATATATATATATATATGTAAATATATATATATATATATATATATATATATATATATATATATATATATATATATATAACATCTACTGAGATATAATCAAATTTATGAAAAACTATCGAAGAACTATTTCTTCATTAGTTCATATTTGTGAAGGTTGTGATTGGTTATATTCCTTTTAAAAGGTCATATAGTTTTAATTTCACTATATTCTTTGATAAACACAATTTCTTGATATAGATTTTATTGAAGACGAAACTAAAGTCTATTGTAATCATCTGACAACCGTATAATATATGTACATAAATATAATGAAATATTTCACAAGTTTGATATGGTTTTCATGCTGTCTTACATAATACTTCCTTACGCCTGTCACCCCTTATGGATGAGCCTAGACCACCCACCAGCATTTTCCATCGAACTCTGTTCTGGACAATTCTTCCCAGTTGCTGTTTGTCCTTTTCATTTCTGCTTCCAGTTCCCGGCGCAATGTGTTCTTTGGTCTTCCGCTTTTCCGTTTCCCTTCAGGACTTCAAGTTAGCGCTTGCCTCGTGATGCAGTTTGATAGTTTCCCCAATGTATGTCCTATACACCTTCATTATCTTTTCCTAATTTCCTCTTCATATGGAAGCTGATTTGTTCTCTCCCACAGTAGAATGTTGCTGATGGTATCCGACTACCGGACATTGAGTATATTGTGTAGACAATTATTTATAAATACTTATACATTTTTGATGATGGTTGTGATAGTTCTCCAAGTTTCGGCTTCGTACATTAAAACTGTCTTGATGTCCGTATTGAAGATTCTGACTTTGATGTTGATTGTTTTGAGTTCCATATGTTCTTCAACCGTAGGAATGCTATTCTTGCTTTGCCAATCCTTGGTTTTACGTCTGCATTAGATCCTCCTTGTCCATCGATAATGCTGCCCCGATAGGTACGTGGAAGATAGTACCTCATCCAGAGCTTCTTCATCAAGTGTGATTGAGCTGGTGTTCTCTGTGTTGTATTTGAGTATGATGCTTTTCACTTGTGTATGTTGAGGCCTACTGATGCATGGTGAGCAAATTAATGTAAACTAAACTCCGTTCGTATATATGATGGAATAGTAATTCCTTAGATATTAGGGCAAGCTTTTTCACTTTTAACCGAAGGTTCTCATATAGGAAGTCACTTAATGTTTTGAATGTTGACTGTCTTTTGATCTATTTATAATTTTCCTGACTGTAGCTGGACAGATTAATTAGCAATAATTAGCAAGGTTATTTTCTACAAGATAGGGTTACTGTCCCCATGCCCAACCATCCTCCCTCACTCGAGCTTTGGATCAACAGTAACCATAGAAGAGCTACAGGTGGTGTGTTTGTGTAGGGTTTAAACTTTCGGGTTTTTATCTGATATTTTTTTTATTATTTCTACTCCCTTAAATCTTCCAGTAATATAAACCCATATATTGGGCAAATTGTCTTTGAATTATAAATGAAAATTTTAACAATCACATTTTCTAATATCAATAATTTGAACAATATTGATTACCGTAATCAATACTCTTTTAATCTTAAAATTAATGTTCTCCATTTTAATAAATACAAATTATCAGACCACCATTCAATTGTGGTCTAGCTTCAACTGACTCATGATTTCAATCTGTGAAAATTTCTAAAAATCTCCACAAACCCCTTCTGATAATAATCATCTGCTCACTAGTGACTGACTTCAAGAGATACTCCTGGAGTTCTAGTGGGAAGCCGTTACCAGTGGAGTACAACCAGGTCTGTTGTGAGATATCAACTCACTGGAGACAATGGTATATGGTGGCGCAACTTCGTGGATTGGTTGAAGTTAGACATTAACACCATTGGATGCCGGCTCAGTGGTCTAGTGGTTAAGTGCTGGCGCGCGAAGCCAGTAGGCTCTGGGTTCGAGCCCCGCGTGGTGCGGGATCGTGGGTGAGCACTGCTGAGGAGTCCCACACTAGGGCGAAAAGGTCGTCCAGTGCTTCCAGGTTTTCAGTGGTGGTCTAGCTTCAACTGATTCATGATTTCAATCTGTGAAAATACAAATTAATTGACTGAAAATTAAAACTAATAAAAGTTCCTCAATGAGTTAAATACAGTAAAAAAAATTATATTAATTTTGGTAATTGAACAGTGTTAGAAATGAAATAAATTATAGAAAGTTTTGAACTGATTAATATACAGTTGGTTTTTTGTTATTACTTAGCATAAGAATCAAAATGAAATAACACTCTTAATTGATTATTGTTTTCGATCAACTTTACATGAAGATTAGATCCAAAAATTGATGTTCGTTTTTTTCTCATTTTATATTGTTTGTTTGAATCTTCTTATTGATGTTTGGGACTACAATTGATCAGTCTCTTATTGGTATATGTGCATTTTGTTCGTATTGCCTCATAAGCATTATAAGTGAAGATGGATGGATATACCTGCGTCTCAGAGTTGATGTCCATTCTTGGACCCGAACCCAGTACCGTTCGCTTCAAACGCCATCACGTTATCCATTTAGCTACTGAGTCCTGATAGCCAATTGCTTGTAAAATGGGGTGAAGTTTAAATTTACTTGGTATTGTTTAC